TGGTGACAGACCAGGTGTGATGGTGACAGACCAGGTGTGATGTAGAGACTCAGGGTCTGAAGATTCCTAAACGCAGATAGTAATATTAGGAACAGTATTTTTCAGTACTATACATCTTTTCAATGGCGTATTCAATACTTATTTGGGCGTATTTTTCATGTTATTTTAGTTGTTGATAGTTATTCAAACAAACAATAGCAGTAATAGTAATAGTTGTTATTGTGGTATTATTAAAGTTATAATAACTATTCATTATTCTCACTCGTGGCTGACATTGCAGAAGCTGTTCCTGACATAATAATGGTTGTTATTTTGGTATTATTAAAGTTATAACAATTATACATTATTCTCACTCGTGTCTGACATTACAGAAGCTGTTCCTGACGTCAGCGCAGTCACACGAGCTGCTGGCCGCCCAGCAGGCAGCTGCCTCCCCACCCCGCGCTCCTAAACTCAACCCCATCGCCGCTATGTTCCAGCAACGGCAGCAAAAATCTGCAGCTGACGCCAGCAAAGGCAAAACTGACGCCGATAAACTGCGAACTGACGCAAGCAAAGGCGAAACTGACGTCGGCAAAGTCAAAACTGTCGGCAGCAAAGGCGAAACTAGCGCCAGCAAAGGCAAAACTGACGCCGGCAAAGGCGGAACTGACATCGGCAAAGGCAAGCCGGACGCCAGCAAAGGCAAAACTGTCGCCAACAAACGGCAAGCTGACGCCAGCAAGCCACAGAAACGTACGACTGAAACTGCCAGTCAGCAGTCAAAACAAAGAAGGGAGAAAGCCAATCTTAAATCAAAGATTGGCTATACGAGGCAAAAAAATACTAAGAAGACGCGTATTTCGTCTGATGAAAGTGAAGAGCAAGATAGTGAAGAGGATATAGGAGTGGAAGTGGAGGAGGGAAAGGAGGGACCAAGCAAAAAGGAGAAGGAGGGACCCAGCAAAAAGGAGGGAAAGGAGGGACCCAGCAAGGAGGAGAGCTACACGCTGCTGCTGGTGGAAGATGTACGACGAGTTGCTCTGCCGTTGAATTAATGAAATATTTTTCTATGTTTCTTATATTGAATGAACAAGACTGGATGTTGATATAACCTCTTCCCTATTAGGGTCATGAATAGCTGCATGTATGGTCATGAATAGCGTCATATATGCTTACTAAATTCTTACATATTGCTTATATTGAGTGTTTTGATGTCGTATATTAAAGTGTTGATATGATATGCAATTATATGATATATCAATGTGTTGATATGATAAGCAATGATGTGATGATAATTGATGATATGATGTATTAAAGTGTTGATATGATACTAAGCTATGATATATGACAGCTGGACCTGCTGTTCAGCGAGAGGGACGACGGTTTCCTGACATCAGTCAACTCGCTGCTGCTGACCAGCAAGCGGCCTGTGCTGCTGACATCGACTGACGGGCGTACTGCTGCTGCCATGCTGCGTCAGCACTGCAGACATGCTGAGGCATCCCGGCCTGACATCAGCACGCTAGGTATGATCAGCACGCTAGGTGTGTGCTGAGGCCTGACATCAGCATGCTAGGTGTGTGCTGTGGCCTGACATCAGCACGCTAGGTTGGCCTGACATCAGCATGCTAGGTGTGTGCTGTGGCCTGACATCAGCATGCTAGGTAATGCAGCTGATTAATTCTCCATTGCAGCTGATGTTTCTCGTCACCTGTTCATTGCATCTGATTATATTAGACTCTCCATTGCAGCTGCTTATGTTCACCTGTTCTTACAGCCGTGCACCTGCAGCTGATGAGTGTGGTGGGCTGCGGTGCAGCTGTTGCTGCTGCATCTGCTGCACGTGTTGCTGCAGCTGCTGCATCTGCTGCACGTGTTGCTGCAGCTGCTGGCACTGACGTCAGAGCAGCTGTGAACGCTCTGCAGTGCTACGTGGTCTGTATATATATGTTATATTTAATTATTAATAACTTCTTTATTACCTATTTAGTGTTGAACGATTTCTTTAGTACCAACTTAATGTTTGATGACTTCTCTACTACCGACTTAGTGTTTAATGACTTCTTTACTAACTACTTTCTTTACTAACTACTTTACTCACCATTGTGTGGGCCAGCTGTGGTGGTGCAGTGGTGAGAGACTCAGTCTCTCGCACCCAGCGCCCGGGTTCTCTGTCTTCTCGTCTCTCGCACCCAGCTCCCGGGTTCTCTGTCTCTCACACCCAGCTCCCGGGTTCTCTGTCTCTCGCACCCAGCTCCCGGGTTCTCTGTCTCTCGCACCCAGCGCCCGGGTTCTCTGTCTCTCACACCCAGTGCCCGGGTTCTCTGTCTCTCGCACCCAGCGCCCGGGTTCGAGTCCCACTGAGGACAAGTTCTGCCGGGAAGCTCAGCTCATGGTCAACTCAGCCATTCATCCATTTCTGGTTGATAAATGAGTACCTGGCTTGTCCAGGGTGTTGTGTAATGCAATCAAATGGTTCTGGCGGGTCAGCGAGCCAATGATGGTCATAGAACTACCAGTGGTACCGAGTGCCCGGAAAAACTGATCTATCACCCCCCCTCCCTAGTCGCCACTGCCAGGATGGGCGATTACAACAACAACAACATTGTGTCCCACATACACGTTATTTGTACGGTTAATTATTGTATTTATTTCAGATGTATCACGACAAGTCGTCTGCGGCCTCTGCGTTGGAACGTGCAGCGCTGCCGCGACTAACTTCAACCCAAGCGTTAAGTTCAACTTCAACTCAAGCAGCAAGTTTTGTTCCTCTGGAAGGTTCCGCGGAGAATTTGGAGCTTCCACAAAATTTCTACCCTGAATTAAAAGATTTATTCCCTGGAATTGAAGTTGAAAATCTAACACCATTGACCCCAAGTTACCCTATCAAATATTTACCACAAAATATTGACAATAAATTTGCAGTTAAAATATATGATTCCAGGGACGGTGATGAAACAAACAGAATTGTTTTGCCGTTGCACGCAATCCCGCAGTTTAGTTTCACGCACGTTCTTCTGCCGCTGTTTTTGTGCCTGCCTAAACGCAGGATGGAGGCGAGGAAAAAGAAGTTCCCACTGAGTCTGGATGACCCACAACTGAAGGAGGTGCCCTTGTATCGCAAGTACTCCTGGCTGGACGTCGACAGCGACTCTGACGATGAGAAGTGCGAGAACTTCATGAAGAGCTGCCAACAGGAGAACCAAACCTCCGCTGTAAGTGCTAGAAAATTTGCTGTAAATGGCGGCGAGAGTGAAAATAATGTCGGCAAGAATGATGATGATTGTGAAGAAGAAAATTGTTTCTCAAGCGATCGTGAAGTTTCAAAACGTCGACAGTCGTGCAGCTCTTCACGTAGCAGTCTCAGAACTTTCCGTAAGGACAACAACTGTGAAAGTCCCAAGTTAGGAAACCAGCAAGAAACCGAAAAAGAATCTACAGAGACTGGCGGTAAAATTGACATTAAAATTTCAGGGGAGAATGTATCGCCCTTGAGTGCTAAGCCTACAAATGCGTCTGCAGTGGTGGCTCTGGAGACCATCGCTGGCTTATTGAATGATTTTGCAGACCTGGATATTTTATCCACGCTTCCCTACGACAATTTGGTCGCTCCTATAGCCAGCTACACATCGTCTCCTGCCGCCCACCTTCTGCAAGTGTCTTCAGTTTGCCGTGCATCGAATTCTGGTTTGAGTCCCAGCAATGGAAATTCACCTATTCCGAAAATTCGCAATTCAACAACAGAAAAACAAAATTCTCTTTTGACTGAGAGTGAGAAATGTTGTGGCAGGTTCAGTCTACTCGAGACTTGTTTCGACCGCCACTCGTCCTTGTGGCGAACGCAGTGTCAGCCACACCACTGCCTCACAGACAGCCTCTCAGACGACCACTCAGTCGAGCCTTACCACAGCCACTCTTACCTGCAGGCAGACATAACTTCAAGCCTCTCTGCAGCTTCTCTATTGTATCACCTAAATTCCCTTGAAAAAACAGTCAAGGACATCGACTTTGACGCTAAAGTTGCCGGCAAAACGATGCTTGATATTATGTCTGTTCCTGATTTGGTTGGCGACACCGAATCTAACCACAGTGATGACCGCTACACATGTCATGTGGACAATAATTCCCTGTACTCGCTGCTGCTCTCGCGGCTGCCGCCCCAACACCTGCTGGGGGGCGGCAGCTATGAGGTGGTGGCGATGCTGCGACACTTGGCACGGCAGGACGCCATCACCAGCGCAGTCAACCTCCTGAAGCGGCACAGACGGCGTCCGGCCGTCAGGGGAGGAGGGTGTGCGCTGCTCGCGCTCGTCGGGGTCGAGAATCTCGGGGAAACTAAACTAACTGCGATGGCGAACGCTCTCTCGGATGTGTAAATAAGTTGTTCCGTTGTGGTATTTTATGTTAATGGGTGTGTCCTCACAATTTTTTTCATTACGTTCGGATGCAAGGTTTTAAATTACGCTACAATGTTATACGTACCTACAGGTGGTTACATGTTATACGTGCCTGAAAATGGTTATATGCTATTCCTACCTCAAGCCGTTGCAAGAATTTTGCATTAATTAATGCCCGTGTCTATGGATGCATTAACCGTCGACAATGTTATACCTACCTACAGGTGGTTACATGTTATACGTGCCTGAAAATGGTTATATGCTATTCCTACCACAAGGCGTTGCAAGAAGAGTAACTCAGTAAAATAAAGGTTGTGTTTCATTCAGTTTGCTTGTATCTTCAAGGATGTTTTATAATGCCTATTAACTGGCAATGCATGCAGCGTTGCCTGCGACCATTTAAATTACTGAACAAAACTTGAATTAACTTAAACTTGATAAACTTTTCGAATTATCAGTGAAAAATTATCACCGCATAATAGGAGGCCAGAGTCTGTGCCCCAATTACATAATTTCTAGTAGCTTGAAAATCTACAATTTCTGAAAATCGAAGTATTAACGCAGATTTTCTTATATCGCTTCTTAGGACACTTGATAATTGTGGATTTACCAGGAATCTTGATTTTAATTATACTGCAAACCATTTGTTTTCTGCCATGCCTTTCTTAACCTTATGTCAAGCTTTGTTGTCCTGGTCACAAATTACTCTATTGACTAATTAATAATATTAATTAGTGAATTGAATATTAGTGAATATTAATTAATTCACTAACTAATACTAATATACTAATAACGTCGGTCAAATACTAAAAAAATATAACTCAGTACTCACTGCAGTGAGTGACAGAGAGCGCATTTTCTCGTCGACGAAAACTTGAAGTCACGGACAGACGAACGGACGGACAGACATGAGCACACTAGTGCATTTTTTCCATTAAGAGAAAATGCGCTAAAAATACTAATAACATTGATAATGGAGAAGCACAATACTTTAGGATTCATAAGTGAAACTAATCAAGAGCTGGGGAAGTAGTGAAGGTTCTATTGTTTCTTTTTATTTTCAATTTTTTTTTTAAATTTATTTCCCGCACAACTCGAGCATTAAAATAACGAAATCTTTATTTTCCAACTAAAATTTTTGTATGAAGTCTAACTAGCGTGTATTGATTAATACATACACACATGCTTACATCACACAGCTATAGCTTATTCATGCATACATCACACATGGTATACATGCTTACATGACACAGCTATAGCTTATTCATGCATACATCACACATGATGTACATGCTTACATGAAGGCACTCGTATCTCAGCATGGAGAGCAACATAGACATACATAACCTCGTACAATGTCTACAGATCATCACAGTTTATTGTGGAACAAATAAATATATATCAGGCACGTCTTGTGTGGTGGTGTCACCACATACATAATCTACATGAAATGATATGTGATGTATTCAATACGCATTAGAGCGAATATCTACACTAAATATTTCTTAGACGCTACAACATGTAGAGTAATTAATAAGTGATGTAACATTACGCGTTACATTTTGTACACAAATGCAATTAGTTGGATTATTCGTTGACGTATATTCATCGTTGATGAATGCTGAACGGCATAGTTGACGCAGATTCATCATAGACGTGTAGTAGGAGAGGCAGTAGAGCCGATGGTCTCACTTTCGCACACACTCTCAGGAACTTATCGGATGGTGCAACCGTTCTTGTTTTCTGTAATTTATTTCGAGTGAAATGAGCAACATCACTGGTACTTCAGCCCAGCTGCTCTCGACGCTTCCAAACCTAGTCGTGACATAATAGGCAGTTGGAACGTACAGTTTATAATAGGCAGGATTAACGGAACAGACTATACCCAAAAGTGTCTTGATGTCCGCGCACTCTGGACAAAGGAGTGATTTACTTTAGCTAGCACATCACTGTTAACTCCGTAATGGAAGACTCCCCGTGGCTGATTAAATTTTTACGTAAATTCAGACCGTTCTAAATTTAGCGCCCCATACACTAGCGTATCTGACTCTGGAGTCCGGTTAGCTGATTCTGACTAGCGAATCTAATTCGGCGATAGCGAATCTGATTCCAGGTTTGAAGGGAAAGCCGTACGAAGAAAGATTAAAGATAATGAAGCTTCCAAGCCTCTGTTTTCTACGACTGCATGGTGACCTCATTTAAGTATACAAGTATACTCTAGTCTCTACAAGGTCCCAGAACCCGGCCAGGATTACTAGAATTTTAAACGAGAATCAACTCCAGGGGCCACGGCTATAAACTAAAAAAAACTGCGTTGCAATACATCCACGCGGCGTAGCCTTCTCGCTTCGAGTCACCGACATGTGGAACAGCCTCCCGGCTAACATCGTTGACGCTCCGAGTATAAAAGCGTTCAGGAACAGACTAGATGAAGCTATGGAAAAACGTATGTTCAGACTTGAAATGCCTAGCACTATATCGAACCAGATGGATGTCTAGTAGCTCCAGCTTAGTTCTGAAAAGTTCCAGTCACGTGTAACCTGTTTCAAGATCTCCTGTGATGAAGTCACGAAAAGTTCAAGAATCGGCGACAGGCCACATAAGGCCTATTCTTCAGCGCCGAAATAACTGTGCTATGCTCATGTCTGCCGTGCCCCCGTTCATGTTTAAATATTGCCAAGGTAAGAGAAAACAATGTTTTCTCTGCTAAATAAGAAAATAGAAAATTTCCCTTGTATCCCCGAAAAATTTCAAGTTTGCCAAAACGTGTTGATATAATTGGCAACTTCACGACTGCCAAGCTTGGCTCTGCTTATTAGCCAAAAATCTTCAAATTGCACAGAAAAAACTAACAATTTCGGAGATTGGCCTTAAGTTCTCACCGAAAACTTTGATATGTGAGCATTCACGATTCTAAGCACTGGAATTACCAGCTGGTAGTTCCTTTAGAATTGGTTGGCAACTTGTACCAGAAGCGGTACATCTTGAATCAAACGTTCCAGCATTCGACAGAAATAACTGGAACAATTTACCAACCGAATATGCCAACTTAAAGAAGTCCCCCCCCAAGTTCATGTTTGCCTTTCAATACTCGACTAAACGCAAACCATCAGCTGGAGGCAGAGAAAAAATCCTGACAATTTTTTCACCATGAAGGCACGTAGATTATTAGTCATGATGGTTCGCGAGACGGTACCGCCCAGACGTTAGTCCTTGCGCCTCCTATAGATGCTGCCTAGCGGCACGCTGGTGCCTGGTTGAAGAACCGTCGGTAGAATTGCAAGCTGATCATCAATCGACTCTTGTAGAAGCTTCTGCACACGCAAGGCGTGGTTTTTAGACTGCTGTGGAACGCAAAGCTAGTCTAAAGTCAAAACACGAGAGTCGATACGTTACAGCGGAAACGCCTATAAGTACTTTGTGATTATCTTCGCTCCACGCTGGGCACCTAAACGGCTCCAGGAAACCTGATCCAACTGGAACCGAGGTGAACAGCTCCTTCTGTCAAGGCGGCTGGCAAGCAACTGTTCAAACTTCACTCAGGTCTCAGTTCACTGCACACAAGTTCACTGAGTTCAATCCAGTGTTGCCAGGTTTATTCTTGGCGAGAATACCATATTGCCTAGCTCAATATACCAGAAATTCCATTGTTCAAAAAACAGACTAATACCTCCAAATTTAATGAAACTATTCGTCAGAAACGTTGGTTAGGAAAAGAAAAAAAATTCATCTTATGTAGTGTGCATTTATCTGGCTTGACGATAATTAGCCAAACACGAACATTTTTGAACACGTTACATTTTTTCCCTCTGTTTGGAACATATTGACACTTCTTTTCCTGTGTTTGATTACATTGCCACTTTTTCCTTTTTTATCACTTTTTTCATCACTTCTTTCGCTTTTTTTATCTTCTTCCCCTTCACTCAACATGAGCAAGCCACGGAAACAGGTCATCTTATATTCCTTTTGCTTATTTTCGTACATGCTTGCATATTGCATTTACCTAACATCTCGGCTGTGATCACTTGATGCGGTTGAGCAGATAGCTTTTGGTCCGAATAAGGAACTCCAGTACCTTAGTTGAAATTTTATGCCGTTGCTTGTTTTTCACATAGGTGACATGTGAAAACACTTGCACCACGAATGCATTGGAGAGTGGAGACAGGTCAAAGTAGACAAGTGATGCAGTAGGCAGCCAGCTCCATGAATGGATGATGATTTTCAAGATCAGTGAAATATTGAATGGCACCCCAGAATTCAAGTGGCACTCCAATAAGTGGCATTCTAGAATTCAAAACCACCAAACAAAAATGGTGGAGCTTGCGTCTCGAGATCAGTTCGACAACCTCACTCGTCCTAGGCCATATCATCACTGATCAGTAATCAATCAAAGATCATCACTCTCGTGCTTATATTGCACTAAGCACTTAAGTTCAAACTTCAGAGGTGGAACTCAATGCAGTAAATTTGCAGAAAGTCAGAAAATACCAGATTTAGGCTAATATACCAGATCTAGAATATTTATAGCAGACACCTGAAAATACCAGATTTGGGAAATCTGGTATAGAAATATACCATCTGGGAATGCTGCTTCAATCTAGCTAGTCCAGGGTTGCCAGATGAAGCCAAGAGAAAAAGGTCAATTTAGCTCACAAAAAGGTCCCATTTCAAATTAATCAGCAATTGAATTTTTAAATCTAATGTAGTTCTAACCATTTGCGGTACATGTATTAACCCTCAAGGCTTTTGGCAGCAAAAATACACCAATTTCACCACGTGTACGATCTGAATTACCGTCAATGCTACATAAGCCGCCAGGCAGCCTGAAGCGAATTACACGTTACTCGCCGATTGTAAATATAATCGTATAATACTGGTCAGAATGATTATACCTATTTAGGATTCGATTGCCACCTATAACAACTATACAGCTTTTCGATCGCGTTAGAGAGTTTTGGCTCAGTTTTGCTAACAAAATAGATAGTGAAGTGGCCGGCGACACAAGTGATGTAGCTAAATTTTTGCATCGACGATAGAATACTTATACGCGGAAATTGAATTC